ATATATAGGTGTGTGCGTGCGTGTGTGTATGTATGATGTATTAAAATATGTGATAAAATATTCATCTGGGAAGCCATGTTTGGTAATACAAAAATTGACTCACCAGCGTCGATGCACCATCAACAGATGTCGAGAATACAACATAGTTAAATGATCCAGTGGAAGTGTCCTCGGCTCTCACTGTAACAGTTCTTATAACACAATACAGAAAAGCCAATATAAAACTTCTATTTCCTATATCAAATGCATACCGAGACACATAATATGACTGTATTATAGTCGTTATACATATACACGTGGTGATAAAACACATTTACAGAGCCAATGTTTTTTAACTACTCTTAACTCGATGCAAGTGTTCTTGATTGGGCAAAGGCATTTGACCGAGTAAACCATAAGCTTTTGCTTCTTAAACTGAATCGTGTTGGCATTCAGGGGCAGGCTCTCTCCTGGTTAACATCACTGCTGCTAGGTAGATCCCAGAAAGTCCAGTTTATGGGCACACACTCTGCGTGGATGCCTGTATTATCTTGAGTCCCTCAAGGATCTGTCCTCGGGTCTATTCTCTTTAATCTTTTTGTTGCCGATCTGCCTTCATGCGTACTTTCATTCCTGCCCCAGTATGCTGACGATACTGTTTCCTTCATTCTGATTTAAATAATATCTCAACTTGGTGCACTAATAACTATATGCAATTAAACTCTAACAAATGTAAAGTCATGCACATCACTAGATCAAATAAAAAGTTTGCTACAAATTACTACATCAATGATTCCACTCTTGATTCAGTTCCTTTCCATAAACATCTTAGTATTTTTGACTTGTAATTTAAGTTGGGGTAAACAAGTTGATTATGCTACTTCTCGTGCTGCAAAGATGCTTGGGTTTATCACCAGATTAGTTGGGAGGACGCATGGTAACGAGGCATACCGTAGTCTGTACTAGCAATGTGCCGCCCTTTACTTGAATATGGCATACCAGCTTGGTTGCCATTTCAGATAGGTCATATAAAATCTATTGAAAGTACAGATTTTCGAGAGCGTATTGCGGTGGTCCTTGGTACTCTCGTCCTCCTTACTCTGATAGACTCAAGCATCTCCACATCTCACCATTGAATGCTCGTTTCCTTTATATTCATTTGATCTTTATCGTTAATTGTTTATTTGGATTTAATAATATTAAGTTACCTGATGTCCAAGTTAACTCTAGACATTCTACTTCATTAAAATTTATAGAAAAATTTGCTCGCACCAATGCTTTCAAATACTCCCCTTTTATTCATTTTAATAGGCTCTTTAATTCTTTCCCGGAAAATGTCAGATGCTCATTATTATTTTCAATTAAGCATTTTAAATCACTTATCCAAGAATATCTCCATAATTATGTCCACATTTTCTGATTGGCTCATTATGTAAGTTCATATTTGTAGTTTTTACTGTTTTTAATGTCATCTTGTATTTTTATTCATTTATATATATATATATATATATATATATATGTGTGTGTGATGTTATCCACACTATCTCGCGTATATGTATATGTATGTATGTATATGTGTGTGTTTGTGTGTATGCATATATATATATATATATATTCTTTTATTATTTATTTCTACTGTATTTACTTTTATTTATTTTTATTTTGATTATTAATATTATATTTTTATTTAAAAATGTTATATAAATTATTGCATGCTATTTAATTTTTAATGACGCTGTTAGGAGAGCCACTTGATAGTTTCTGAACTTTTTTGGCAATCCTTGGAAGGCAGCATCATGTTTTTTGTTATATTTTTCCTAAAATAAAATTTGAATTGAATTGAATTGTATTGAACACTCTAGTTGTGAATTCAAGTCTGAATAAAGCAATTGATCTCCATGACACTTATATCATTTGTGATAATTATTTTTTGACTTACTCCGATGTTTTTCTAGTAAGCATATGAAAACATTTGTACAGTATTATTCAAAAAAACGCATTATATCAATTTTTGAGATTTTTGTCTTAAGAGGCATGCTATGGATGTATGTTTATATATATATATATATATATATATATATAGAGAGAGAGAGAGAGAGAGA